ACCCTAAAATTATGCCGTAAACCCGACAGCGCTTTGGAAAGCCGGAGAGGATCCGCTGTTTCTGGGGGCCCCCGCCCTCCAGCCTCCTCCGATAAGATTCCGGGCTCAGGGCTTTCAGAAGCATTTAGGGTTTAGGGTTTAGGGTATAGGGTTTAGGGTTTAGGGTTTAGGGTATAGGGTTTAGGGTTTAGGGTTTAGGGTTTAGGGTCCAGGGTTTAGGGTACAGGGTTTAGGGTTCAAGAAGGGTTGAATCTCATGGGTTCAAGGCTCTAACATAGGTTTCATAAGGCCTCAAGAAGGGTTGAGTATGGGTTAAATAAGGGTTCAACAAGTGTTGCATACATTCACTTTGGGGGTTCATGTTGCTCAAGTCTTAAGCAAGGGTTTAAGACAGTTTAACAACAGATTATAGGCTTGAGGGCCTTACCATAAAGTGTTTAGCGATTTCAGGGCTTATGACGGGTGCGCAGGGTTCACGGTTCAGGGATCAGCGGTTGGTACATGATGTTGGGTTTGGGATTAGGGAACTGTAGGGTTTCGGAAGGTGAATGAACAAAGGGTAGAACTGTTTTGCAGGCTTTTTGCGTTGTTGCTGCGTCAAGGGCTTAGAAACCCTTAACACTAAACCCTAAGCCCTAAACCGTGATGTGTAGGGTTGTTCCTATATAGAGTTGAGGATTTAGCGGGTTGAGGCTTGTGTGCTTTAGCGTTTCCGAAGACTCCAGGTGCCTGCATAGTATATACAGAGGCCTTGACTTACCTCCCTAAACCCTAAACCTATGCAGGAACCCCTGTAAGGCCTAAGTATATACTAATTATCTGGGTACATGGACGCTTAAACCCTCCCCCCTCCAAAAAAAAAGAAAACAACACGAAGCAACAACAATAAAACCCAAACTATATATATATATATATATACATATATATATATATATATACAGACCCTTATGGGAGCCCTTTAGAGGAACCCTTAAAGGATCGCTTTAAATGGGTACATGGAGCCTGTGAATGTATGGCCTAGAGAGCTCCCAGAATCCACGCTTGGCCTTTTCAGGTAGCAAGGCTTAGCTATAGGATCCCAGAGAGTTTAGGGTTTAGGGGTTAAGGCTTAAGGGTTCAGGGTTTAGGGTTTGGGGTTTAGGTAGGGTTTGGGGTTCAGTATTTTACTACCATTATGGAAGTACCCAGATTTTTTTTACTATCATTGTGGAACCTAAAGCCTAAGCCCTTTAACCTCATAATTCAAGAAGGAACTACCTGTCACTTTTTGTGGTATTCTATCCCCTATATAAAGGGCTAGGCTAGGGTTAAGGGTTATGGGGCATAGTCTCCACTGCAGTTCCTTTTTGGGGCTACCTTACTTGGATCCTAGTTATAAAGTTTGTTAAACCCAAAAAACGATCCGGAACTACAATGGAGACTGTAGGTAAGTCCGAAAAGACCATCCATACTATGTGTTAGGGAGTTTCGGGGACGTAATTCCATGGTCAGAAGTTTTCTAAATTAGGGTCCCTTTTGGGGTCTTTTTTTATGGGTGCCGTACTATATTGGGGACCTAAAAAGGGACCCTAACTTAGAGAACTACCCACATGTGAACCCCCTGGGAATCTAAAGCTCTAGAGCCTTTCGGGCATTGGGTTGCATAGGGTTTTGGGCCAGTGCCTATAGTCTCCATTGTAGTTCCTTTTTGGTTTAACAGTTTCTGTATTAAGGATCCTAAAAGGTAACCACCAAAAGGAACTATATTGGTGTCTATAGGTAGAGAGCTGAAATTCGAAACTTAGGTATAACAAGGAGCGCTAGAGAACAGTGTACTGCACATCACTCCGGCTTCTACATTTATGTAGTGTCTCGGGAACAAGGTCTCAGGGCCTGAAACATGAGAGATTCAGGGATGAAGGCTTGAAAGGCCTTGGCTTTCAGGGGCGCAGGTAGGTCGGGTTTAGGAGTTCTGGGGTTTATGCTTAAGTTGAGGTTGTAGGGTTTAGGGTTTAGGGTTTATGGTTTAGGGTTTAGGGTTTAGGGTTTAGGGTTTAGGGTTTAGGGTTATAGAGGATCCAGGCTTCAGCAGAGTCGACGACGAGGCTCTCGGTGTTTAGTGCACGGCACAAGGCCGAGGACTTGAGCCTTCTGGAGGCATACTTACAGTATACCCATAGGCCCCACAGTAGTTCCTGTTTGGGATTACCTTATAGGCTTCTATATATGAACCCCAAAGAGGCACTACTTTAGGGCCTATGGGTAGAGCCCTTGAATTGAAAGGACGTACTTAGGACTTAGCGTGTGATACGTTCTGGTTGGGGTTTCCAATGCAATGCTCGCAATTCCAGGTCCTGGAATATGTTTCATAAGGACATGGGTTTAGGCCTTATCAGGATTTTGAGCTCAGTTCGGGTCAAACTATCGTGTGTCTGCAGGCTTTACACTGGACATCCATGACCCAACTTCTTGGCAGACCTTTAAGATGTGCGAGTCCTAAAAATACTGGAGAACCCAAGAAAAGCCTCGTCCCCAACCCACTTCAACATGATTTTCACTGGATCTCAGAGCAGCGCCAGGCACCACCACATAGCTTAAAATGAGCAGAAATCTTCAGAACATGCCCGGACTCAAATGTAATAACTATATAGCGACATTGCACTAGAACCTCGAACGAAGTTAGGGGTTTAGGGTTTAGGGTTTAGGGCCCGAGGAGGGTTTGTAGTGCCGTAGACCCTACAGCTGTGGGTTTCGGGTCTGTCCTTCAGGAAATCAGAGATCCCAAACTTAAGCAAATCCTATACAAACCTAGATAGCTGGCTCAGGCCATCGAACCTCTAAACCCTAAACAGGGCCCGCACCAGTCTCATCTATTAGGGTTTAGGGTTTAGGGTTTAGGAACAGGCCAAGAAGCAGAACCAGTATCCCGCACTAGGATGAAACGGGTCTTCCGGCAACACGGTTGAAAGATAACGCTGCTGGGGGCCTCTGTAGGGTGTCGCCCCAGCAGGTGTCGCAAGATGTATAACGATCGCTCTCTGTTCGTAAAGTTTCTCCAGTTTCATGGTTTAGGGTTTAGGGTATGGTAGAAACGGATATTCTCCTTAAATCATCACTTCCTCTAGTGAACTCTAAACACCACGGCAGACTCGCGCCTATTCGAAAGAAACCAAGAAGCCATGACCACAACCTAAAGCGGCACCAAGAATAGAACATGTGAGCGTTAACAACGACAGAGCTCCATACTGAACCGACATCCATTTACATATATTTGCATATGTACACACATACATTAACACACACATGAATACATACATGCATACATACATACACGTATGTATATGCATACATATACCGATATATATATATATATATATATATTATATATATATATATATCTACATATAAAGGTATCAATCATTATTGACCAATCTAAAGCTAAAACCTAGACTGCATGGAAGCCCTCCCTTGCAGGGTGACACAGGCATCCACCGTGATTGAAGCTGGAAAGCTCGGAACTCGACTTCCCAAGAAAGTAGGGCTTGAGGACGTATGGGTTCGGCGTGTAGGTTTAGAGTTGCTTGTGTCTTTCTGCTCTCAGGGTTTAGGATTTTGAGAAAAGCTGGGGTTTAGGATTCAGGTAGCCCGAGGGTGATGTTTTGGGCTAGCTGGGCTTTCAGTTTCAAGTTAAGGCAGTCGCAACAAAAACCACAATGCCCCAACACATCCTACATCTCTCAAATCATAGCAAGGAACCACCAGAACTACTGTTTCATACTGACTCATTCGTCGAAAGTACCCACATCTCGAACAGCACGGCGGATGCATTAAACGGAAGGTTGGGCACTTTGCAGTCGCAGAGGCACCCTTGGGCAATGCTGGCTTCCCTTGCCGACGCCAAGTTCCAAACGACAGAATCCGAGGTTGCCGGCTATGTGACGCCCAGGGCTTAACTGTGTTGTAGTTTTGGGGCCCTGAAAAGTATTTATGAATAGGTACCTCTATAGTACTCTATAGAAACCATAAGGGAAATTTTACAGTTTCCCAACTTGCCACCTACTTGATGTCCTTTCTTGTTTAAGCACCTTGTTCTCGCCTGCTGGGTTTTAACGCTTAAGTTTCGAAACTCAAGATGTCTCGCTGCAGTTCGATGCCCAGTTGCAGGGGTCGTCTTGACTTGCTTCATTAACCCCAACCCTAATCCCTAAACCCGTAAACCCTAAACCCGTAAACCCCTAAACCCTAAACCCATGTCTCCCACAAGTGCTCACTAGTCGCTATCACTAGCCAAACAGCCCCCACAGGCGGCTCAAAATCTCTGCCACGATCATCAATGAACCGCAAGGGTTTAGGGTTTAGGGTTTAGGGGTTTAGGGTTTTAGGGTTTAGGGTTCATATCCAAATCCTCTTGACTGGCCTGATTCTACCCGGTGGTAACACACAGGCTAAGACACGGATTCCCAGCTTATGTATTCTTCTCCACGGACCATCCGCCTCGCATAAGACCCGGAGCAGATCAGCCTAACACCCGCAACGAAAGCGCTGCTTACAAACTAGGAATACGGTTTGGGTGATCTTTGCAGGGTACGTAATACGTATTTAAGCTTTCCGGAGCTTGACTGTCTAATGGTTTTGTTAGATCGAGTTACATGTGCCCCTGAAACTTAAAGGGAAGCTTTTCTGGGGTGGAGGCAGAGGTTGCATGCATTCCGGAAAGCCAGGCGTTGGCAGACTGTGTCGTCACCAGTTGCCACAAGAATGCTCTAGCTGTGGATCGCTCTTTCCACAAGGAAGGTGTGCTGAGGGTTTAGGGGGCGGTGTGTCGTGTTTGGGGCCCGTGAGGGCGTAGTGTCCACGGCTTTTGAACTCAGGAATCTTGGTAAAGAGCACACGGAACCATGAACCCGTGAAACCGGTCCACGATCAGAATTTAATCGGGAAGCTGCCATAACACAAACGTAAACCTAAAGAATACTAAACCCTAAACTCTGTACACTCTCACACCTGGAAAGACTAGCCTCTCACTTGTGGAAGGAGCCATCCATGCACCGGCTCTGAGCCAGACCTTCTTCCAGAGTGTGCTTCACAAAATACCTCAGTTGCGATCTAGGGTTCAAAGTTAATACCGGGAAGGCTTCAAGGTTTAGGGCCAAAAACGTCAGAGTTTGATGGGTTTACCTTGCCTTGGCAAGACTTCAACACCTTCAAGGTCCATGCAAGGCGTGGGGTTCTGGCCTTGGGTGTACGCTTTAGGTTTCCCTGGGCTCCAAATAGCCGAAAGTAGGTACTATTTACAGACATTAGACCCCAAAGTAGGTACTATTTGAATACTTTCAGCCCTAGGGTTTAGGAGTTATATAGGGTTTAGGGCTTAAAGTTCAAACTCTTGCGGGTCCGGGTAGGCCTTGTGGTCGCACAGCGACGGCTGGTTATGTAGAAAGGGTGCCCCCGACACGCGGACGCGCAGTACGCGCAACAAGGGGGTTTTAGAAGTCGGATAGTTTAATGAAGCCTGTCGCTATAAGGCCTGAATCACTCGATAGGGCTGGGAATCAGGGGATCGCAAGACTTGTGGGGCTTGTAGGGTTGGTTGTAGATGAACGCGCGCTTCTACAGTAACTTGACACTCAAGTCCTCAACTCACGAGGCACCCAAAAGATCAGACCGCCGTAATTCCAAGCTACGGTACAGGGCTTCGGCAAGAAACTGTTTTTACCCAAGATGCTTTCTCAGAATCATCAGCCGCCCGCTGAACTCGCACACTCCGAACTCCATCACCAGTGGGGCAGTGGTCGAGACTGGCTTGACCTCGGTTGAAACACCATAACATTCAGATAGGGTTCTTTAAACAGCTCCTCTCAGGTTACTACAAGGGTTCTGTGATACAGAGGCCTCCAACGTCAGAATGTGCTGGAGTGTATCTTGTTATAGTTACAGACATGGAGACGCTACAATTGAACAGTATTGCTAAGTATGTTCCGACCCCTGTGTTGCCGTGGCCACAAGTAAAATAGGATGCTACAGGGTTAGTACGAGCTCAATAGAGTTGCCAGTCTATGGTTGGGAGAGTACTAAAAAATAAAGTTATGTTTCTTCTTGGGCGTAAAGTACCCATAAAATGCAAAATGTTACCCAACTGTGACAAAGATAAGAGATTAGTCATACTATAATCATTCAACCCCCTTATAAACCCTTGACCCTAAACCCTAAACCCTAAACCCCGAACATTCACGAATAAGACCAGCGACCCGGATTACCAAAGCTTTGTCTTGACTCTTATGAGCAATCGCGGTTTAGGGTTTAGGGTTTAGGATTTAAAGGTGTTAGGGTCACGAACAACATCTATAATATAGACGCCTGAATAATTAGAATAGGGTTTTGGGGCCCGTTATACTACAACTATAATANNATAGTATAGGTAATTATTTCGGCCCCCACATTATACCTTGTGCGAGGAGATCTGCGGACATGCGGCATCGAACATGTCATGCTCAGATGTGTCCTCGAGGTACATGAAAAGCGCCTGCTTCGGTGGCTTTGATGCAAAAGTCGTAGTCTCGGGTTTAGGGTGTAGGGCCCTAAACCATAGTTACTTGCCTAATTTGAGGGATTACTTAGGCAACCCAAACACGCGAACATGATTCCAATATAGAAGCCCTACTTTGGACTGCGACGTTCTACAGGTACTGAGCACGCTTGGGGACTGAGACAGACATTCAAGCCTAGCACCGGAAACCCTAAACCCTAAATCCTAAATCCTAAACCCTAAACCCGACTTTCCGACTCCTCAACTAGGTCCCGTACCCCAGAAACCCCTAGCAACTATCATGCACGCACAACAAAAACAGGGTAAACATCTGCAGGTCACCTTAAACTCGCCAAGTGGCAGCTTCCGTTGATCACCACAAAACAGCAGGATGCTGCATTCGAGATTAGGGTCCAGGGCATCCTTTAGAATGCACGGGGTGCACTGATGAGGCTGAAGTAGATTTCTACATGGGAGCTTCGGGAAACAAGGGACTCGTCACAGTTGTTCTGGAACGAGAAGCGTGTAGAGCGAGCCCTTATCAAGTAGGACAGAAACTTGTGTGAAACTTAGGATTGGGAATGCCTCAGCCTTGGAACTTCTTGATCCAACCCTCTAGCAGACGAGCCCATACACATGCATCCCGACACCCTGCATGAAGCTATACCCCAACCCGCAAGAACCTAAACCTCAAAACGATGAAACTCGAACACCGCAAAGCCTAAACCCTTAATCCGTAACCCCTTAGCTCCTTAAACCCCAAAGCCTTCATACTTTCTGCCTGAATGCTCCCTTCAAGGGGTGGATGTAAAAAGGGACCCATCATAGAACCCCTTTGGACAAGAGCCGCATTGCAGAACCCTACAGTTTCCATCAAGGGCTCCTCAAGCGATCCAGCATTCCTGCAAAACTAGCGTGGAGGTGGGGGAAGATGATAACAGATGTAGTTATATACAGAACCCCTCGCAGGGGATAGTTGCTGGTAAATATTCAGCCCCCCTGAACCCTAAACCCTGAAACCCTAGAAACCCTAAGCCCTAAACCCTGAAACCATATAATATAAACCCTAAACCCCTAAACCCTATAAACCCTATAAACCCTATAAACCCTAAACCCTAAACCCTAAACCCTAAGCCCAAACATAATTCGGGCCCCAAAGGATTCCAAACTCCCCTAAACCCTCAAGCTACGAAGCCCTTACAGAACCCTCGCTCTACCAGGACCCCCTAAATGGCCCTTTAATAGAGCCCTTATGGTCCTTAATTGTGGGTATTTAGGGCATTTTAGAGGGTAGTTGGTTGATAAATCGAGCCTTGAGGGAGTTTTTATGGCCGACCACGAGCACGGACTCACCGGACATGATGCGAGGGGCGATGCCTCGGTAAACGGTGAGAATCTGCAATGGAGGTTAGGGATTGGGGTTTGAGGTTTAAGTTCCAGGGTTTAATTAAGGCTTGTCGTGTTTCGGGATTGGGGCTTGTCGGGTTTTGGGTTACGTTCTCGGTCGTAAGTTTTAGGGCTCGAGGGTGTGCGCACCCAGCGTTTGGTTGAAGGGTAGAACTCTTCCTCGCAGGCCCCTACTTTTGATCTCTGCCTAAAGATCTCGGGCTTGGAGGGCCCATACTTACCCTACGGGTCAAAATGTCCTAGCAATTAAGTACATGGGTTTGGGATGGTAGTTTTCTATAGGATACCAGCTTAGCATGTGGGGCAGTATTTGGGCTTTCAGGTTCTCTATTTGTAATTTAGATTAAGACACCTTTCAGATTCAGGGTTTAGGGATTAGGGTTTAAAGTTCGGGGTTTAGGGCTCAGGGTTTAGGGTTTTAGGGTTCAGGGTTGAATTAGGGTTCAGGGTTATGGGCCCCAGATCTTGGTATAATCATGGAGGCTTCCTACCGACGCCGTCCCCTCTGGGCCCCCGGACACTTTCGCCAGTAGGGCACGATTCGGTCTACAGTCCGGGCCAAGGATTCGCCACCTGCCATGGGACCAAAGACGCCCGGGTACCCAGAGAGTAGGTCACTGTTGCTTGAATCTAAAGGTTTAGGGTTTAGGGTTTAGGGTAAAGCTTACCCTATGAACTTGAAACGAACAATTCTAGACCCTGAGCAACTGGGCTTCAAGGGCGGGGGTTTCATTGTCCAGAGGCCTACATCACCAGCACAGCTGCCAAAAGTCACAGGTCCTTAACGATCGACCTCATCTATGAAAAGCAAGACCACTTAACTCTACAGTGGAAGCCAGAAAGTTGGAATATCAATATTCTCATGCCCATATAAAGGTAAAGGATAAGGGGTCCCGGCAGTAATCCTCCTAAACCTATGTTCCAACTTTCTGGAATTCGCTGTAGAGGCAAACCCAACTCGAAATCCCGAAAGTCTGTAAGCTCTAAACATGAAGCCTCAAGCCAAGCCTGAGACGGTTTAGGGTTTAGGGTTCAGGGTTTAGGGCTATTGGGTGGGAAGGTCGATATCAACTGTCTCCAACAAGTCAATCTCTCAACTGTTCAAGGATTGATGGTGCCCCCAAAGGCTCAAGGTTATACAGTTATACAGGCAAAACCCGAACCCCATTCCCATAAAACGATGTTTAATTTCTCGGAACTGTGAGAGACCTACAAAAGCCATACATAAAACACAAACAGCATCCTAAACCCTAAACCCTAAACCCTAAAATCCTAAACCCTAAAACCCTAAACCCTAAACCCCAAAAAACCCTGAACGCACCTTGCAACACCCCCGATACCCCAGGCCTGGTGGAAGCTCGGATTTCGGGATACCCGCGTAGAGCCTCACTTGACCCAAAAGGCAGCATAAATCCTAAATCCTAAACTAGTTCATGGTTGGGGTAGTATTAAAAATTTAAATTTATATTCCTTTTTGGGTTTAAGTACCCTTAAATATGTAAAATGTTACCCAACTATGACAAAGTAAACCCTACGTAAGAGATGAGATGCAAAATCCAGTAGTGTCGTTTTGGGGTTTACCTCCCGTCTCCATCGTAGTTCCTTGAATTAACGACCAGTTTGGGATTCAGGATCCTATAACTCCAAAAAGATACTACAGTGGAGACTCTATAGGTACAGTAGGAGTATAGGGTTTGGAGTTGAGGCCTGGTCAGTTTAGAGTGTATAGGGTTTAGGGTTATAGGCTTCAGGGCTTAGAACGTGTAGGGCGTTAAGGTTTTAGGGTCAGGGTCCCGAGTTAAGAGCTTAGGTGTTTAGCGTATAGAGTTCGGAGTGTTAGGGCCTTCAGACACTAGGTTTCACGGCGTCCTGCTGAGTTCATACACCGAAAGAAGTGTACACTTTCAGTTTTATAAGTGATCATGCCATGCAAAAGACAAAAACAAACCAAAAAAACTGATGGATTCATTCGGCTACTACGGAAGGGGTCTTGGGGCTTGAGGTGAATGAAGGTCCCGAACTTAGGCCTCGGGATTTGGCGATTCGAGCGATGAGCCTTTGGGCGTCTCGTAGGCTTCGGGAACGGGAGGCAAGGGATAGATAGAACATAGAGGCCTGAATCATTAGAATAGGGTTTGGGGGTATCTTATACTATAATATTAAATATGATGATAGGGAACCCCAAAAGCCTATTCTAATCTTGAAGGCCCCTATGTTGGTTGGGCCCCCCCCCCCCCTCCGGGGTTGACACCTTGGACATGTAGGGTCGGAAGATGCCAGACATGCAGGCTTAACCCTACCAGCCCTAAGCCCAACCCGTAAGCCCTAAACCCTAAACCCCTAACCCCTAAACCTCTTAACCCCTAAACCCCTGAACCCCTGAACCCCTAAACCCCTGCACTCCTCAACCCTAAAACCCCTAAACCCCTATTACCCTAAAGGCTGCAAGCCTGGAGATGAGAAGCCCTGGTACTTGGGCTTGCGATTCAGGGTTCCGGCTCAGGGCACCGGATTTAGGCTTTAGTTGTTTTGTTGCTTGCTTTAGGGTTTAGGGTTTAGGGTTTCGGGTTCAGGGTTTAGGGCTTTGGGTTTATGGGTTCAGGGCTTTAGGGGTTTCGGGCACCGGGTTTGGACGAACACTTCGTGACCTGGGACGGCCAACTGCTGAACCCCAAGACCCTCGAACCCTAGTCCCTGAACCCTAAACCCTAAAACCTAAATCCGAACCCCTAAACCCTACAACCTATCCCCTAAACCCTGAACCCCTAACCCCTACAACCTAAACCCCTAAACCCTAAATCCTAAGCCGTCGCTGCCCAGAGGCGGGTTATTCACAGGATGCCGCACGTCGTCCAGGCCGACGCACTCCGGCATCACCTGAGCCACTTGGGGGTTTCAGAAAATAGGG